GCGGAAGTGGGAAAAGGCCACGGGGCCCTTCCCAGGCTCCAGGGCCAGGAGGTACCAGGCCCGTTCATCCCGCAGCTCCTCCCGCTTCTCCCGCTCCTTCCAGCCCCACTCGCTCTGCTCATACCTGCAATGGGGGCAAAAAAAGGAGGGTTTTGGGCAAAAATAAACCCTCAGGTGGAGGTTGGGAGGTTGAGAAATCCCAGCTATCCAAAGGTTTGGGGGTGAAAGGTCACAAAGAGCTGGTTTTTGGGGGGAAAGATCCCAAATCGCGGAGTTTCGAGGGTAAAAATGTCCCGATGATTCTGGGGGTGAAAGTCTCAAATTCCAGGGATTTGGGGGTAAAAAAAATGATGAGGATTTTGGGGAGAAAGATCCCAAATCTCAACAATGTCAGGGTGTAAAAAAAACCCAAAGTCCAACAATTTGGGGGCTAAAAATCCCAAAGGTTTTTAGGGATTAAAACACCGAATCCCAACAATTTTGGGGGTAAAAAAAAATCTCAATGATTTTGGGGATAAAAACCCCAAATCCCAACAATTTTGGGGGTAAAAAAAATCTCAATGATTTTGGGGATAAAACCCCCAAATCCCAGGAATCTTGAGGGTAAAAAAATCCCAACAATTCTAGGGATAAAAACCCCAAATCCCAACAATTTGGGGGGTAAAAAAAAAATCCAACCAACTCAGAGGGGCAAAAAACCCCTCAACAAACAATTCTGGGGGGCAAAAACCCTGAGGGGTTGGGGGCTCCAGCCTGAGGGGGGGTTAATCCAACCAACTCAGAGGGGCAAAAAACCCCTCAACAAACAATTCTGGGGGGCAAAAACCCTGAGGGGTTGGGGGCTCCAGCCTGAGGGGTTTGGGGCTTGCAGGGCACTCACAGGGTCTGCATGTTGGCCTTGGTCAGCTGGAAGGCCCATTCCAGGGTGCTGGGCTCCAGCCCAGAGACACGTTTGCACTCGATGGCCACGTTCAACCTACAAAAGATTCCAGAAGGAGGGAAAGGCCAAAAAAAAAGGCACCAGGAAAGGCACCAGGAGGGGCCAAACTCACCCATTCCTGTCGTATTTCTTAAAAACTGGGAAAGCTTCGAGGGGATCTTGGAGCTGGAAGAAAAACCAAACAGCACCCGGGGAAAAACGAGGGGGGAGTGGGGAGAGGTGGTGCTCCCACCTGGTTTTGTTGGAGGTTTTAACCAATTCTGGGGGGTTTGAGACCTTTTTTGTGGTTTTTTTTTGTCAGCCAGGACACTCACTTTGTTGGCAGCTTCCACCTTGGCACAAACAGCATCCATGGCTGCTCGCTCCTCCAGGCGCTTTTGCTTCTTCTCCTTGGCTTTGCTTGACTTCCTCTGAGGCAAAAAAACAGCCAAAAAAGGGTGAATTTCCCTTAAATTGGTGTTATCTTCACAAACACCAAGTTCTGGTCAGCAAGAGGAGAGAAATTCTACCCAGAAATTAAGAATTAAGAGAAGTGAATTAAAAACGAGGTGACGCAGCAGGTGAGAAACACGGGGGAAAGTCCTTGGAAATTGTGATTTTGGGTCAAAAAATGAGGGGTTTGGGGGTGTTGGGTTGCAGGAAAATTTTCCTGCCTCTTCCTCAGAGTTATTAGGGCAGTGGGGATCAATTTAGGGAGGTTTTGTCCCAAAAAGCTTTGAATTGTAGGACTTTGCTGGAAGAAAAGAGCTAAAAAGGAGGTTGCTGGAGGAAAAGAGCAAAAAAGGGGGTGATTTGACCCCAAAATAAGAGAGAAGAACCTCATAATCCTGCTGGGATCCTTCTAAAGCCCCAGGAAACCCTGAGCTCCACCTCCACCAAAAAAAACAGGTTCAAAAGACCCCCAAGTGTTTTGCAAGGAAAAAAAAAAAGGTGATGTGGGTATTTTGGGGAGAAAGGGGCAAATTTCACCCTCAAAATCAACATGAGGGTGTTTTTTGGGGGGGAAATTAAAGGAGTTTTGGGAGTTGGAGCAAAGTTTTTCTCCCCTGCCACCTGCTGCTGGCTGGGATACAGCTCCAAAAAGCTCCAGGTTTGGCTCATTTTGGGGAGAAAAAACTGCAGAAGCCTCCCGTGCCCATCAAGGGTCCTAAAACCTCTCAGAAGGTCCCAAGTCTCCTCATAGGAGCCCCCCAATATGCTCAGAGGATCACACATTTTCTCCTAACAGCTCCAGGTGGCCTCAAATCACCCCAAAAGTTGCCCAATTTCCACACAGGAGCCACCAGTCACCTCAGGTGGCCCCAAAACCCCTCACAGAAGCCACATATCACCTCAAAAAAGCTCCCTGGAGCCTCAGGTGGCCCCAAATCCCCTCACAGAAGCCACATATCCCCTCAAAGGAGCTCCCTGGAGCCTCAGGTGGCCCCAAATCCCCTCACAGAAGCCACATATCACCTCAAAGGAGCTCCCTGGAGCCTCAGGTGGCCCCAAATGCCCTCACAGAAGCCTCCTATTCCCCTCAGATTGCCCCAAATCCCCTCATACAAACCCAGTATCTCCTCAGAAGAGCTTCCCATACCATCAGGTGGCCCCAAATCCCCTCAGATGTCCCCAAACCCCGTCACAGAAGCCCCATTTCTACTCAGACGTCCCCAAATCCCCTCACAGAAGACCCGTTTCTCCCCAAATCCCCCCAGAGAAGGCCCAAATCCTCTCAGACAGCTCCAAAACCCCTCATAGAAGCCCCAATTCTCCTCAGATGGCCACAAATCCCCCCACAGAAGCCCCACAGCCCCTCAGGTGGCCCCAAAAGCCCTCAGAGAAGCCCCGTTTCTCCTCAGATCGCCCCAAACCTCCTCACAGAAGACATAAATCCTCTCAGACGGCCCAAAAATCCCCTCAGAGAAGCCCCAAATGCTCTCAGGTGGCCCCAAAACCCCCCACAGAAGCCCCGTTTCCCCTCAGATGGCCCCAAATCCCCTCAGAAAAGACCCATTTCACCTCATACAGCCCCAAACCCCCTCACAGAAGACTCATTTCCCCTCAGAAAAGCCCCAAACCCCCCTCAGACCCCCCCAAATCACCAAAAGGCTCTCGGGGGCCCCCAAACCCCCCCACAGAAGCCATAAATCCCCTCAGGTGGCCCCAAAACCCCCCACAGAAGCCCCGTTTCCCCTCAGATGGCCCCAAATCCCCTCAGAAAAGACCCATTTCACCTCATACAGCCCCAAACCCCCTCACAGAAGACTCATTTCCCCTCAGAAAAGCCCCAAACCCCCCTCAGACGGCCCCAAATC